AGGCCTATATCTTCTCCTAGATATTGCACCACTAGAGGGCGCCTTTCTAAACAAAGTTACAACGTCTTCTACATATGGAAACAAAATAAAATGCAATGTAATGAAAATGATAACGATAAAATCAAATATTAAAATCCAAACTACTGAACCATCAACCTTTGACGGTAGGCCATTTCGACAGGACACCGCGTTAGAAAACCGAGGTGGGAGCTGACGTCTCCGTAAAGGTCGTCACAACAAAGTCCCCTCCTGTGGATAGCTGCAGATCACCCCAGCGAGCAGAGGATTTTGTTTCATTTGTACCAAAATGGCAACGCGACGCTGCTGAATCCTACGAGTATCACAGATTAATAAGAAAATTAAACTGGAGAACAAAGTATAAGTACAGAGCAGCGGTGAAAACGGGGGCTGATCTGATTAAAGATTACTCAAACATGCACGAATCACTCCAAATACAACTCAGAGAGGATGAACGAGAAGAGGAAACAACAATAATATGGTTAAAAGCTCTGAAGAGTAATTTCATGTCTTTGTACTCAGGGTAAAAATAGTGATTGGTTCAATATTAAGATGTTTTATTTATAAATGAACAAAAGAGTTCAACAAATCTCACTGAAGCTAAATCCAAAAGAAGAACAGATTTCCGTTTTGTCCTGTTTTGGACTTTTGAAAATTAATGTTAATAACTGGGAAATATCTGCACTGTAAACCTGAACAATTAAGCAGAAATTAAAAGATTTGATGTAAATGGTTGCATAACTTTTTCAAGTTTATAGTCTTATCTATCTATTAATTCAAGGAACGTCTCTCTGTGGCTATGTTTACACTGAAACGAATCACCGTATCACCGTATCGGAAACAACTTGCGTCCAGACACATCATTTCTGTGTCCGCAAGCCTTCCCTATCCACACAGCTTTGAGCGTATTTGTTTACATTTTACAGAAACAAAACTTAAAGCACATGGCTAATTTGCATAAACTAATCGCTCAAAAAACAGCTCGCTCCTTGTGCCCTGATACAGTTCATCTTCTGTTGGACTAAAGGACACGACTCAGTGGAATATGAGTGTTCTTTCTGTGACAGAGGAGTGTTCTGCTGATGGTGAGTCTGTTCTGTGTTTCTGTCACGTTGGAGATGATTCATGTTAAACTTTTCAGAGATCATACGTCTGCAGATCATACACACAGACCGTATTTATGAATGGACATATATTCTAGCCGCTTAGCATTTTGGCGGTGAATTACTTCATGGCGCATAGAACTACATCAGCATATCAGCGTTTTCAGACGTCCACACGATGCCGGAATCAGATCGGTACTCAGATGAATTTGTGGGAGCTGGCGGCACCAGATCGTTCCATCTCTGGAGCTGTTTTCCATCAGATTAGTGTGAATGAACACTGCATATGCAACTAAAACAACTCGAATACGTACTAGTGTGAACGGGGCCTGTGTGTCTGTCTGTTTCTCTGTTCCACGCGTAACTCTCATTCAACAGAGTTCAAATTGTGGAGGGTGTCATCCTAATGGGACGGATGTGTGCAGTGCCAATTTTCAAGTTGTTAGGACAAAAAATGCCAAAGATCTGGTTGTTTCTAATTGAGTATATGAGTAAGTATCACACAAAATCTTTAATTATACTTACATACAAAAATATATATATTTAATTAAAACATTTAGGTTAAAAACTATTAAAAAATATTAATTTAATGTGCAGAAATTCAGGTAATTGCATCTAAAAATGAAAATTTATGATTAAGTACAGCATCTAATATTTTTTAATTGCTCAGGAATAAATTCTTTTGATTAATTTGAGCATTCAGGTTTACGTGACGAAGATATCTGACTGGTCACATGCTTGTTTCTATGGATATGTCATTGTTCTGCCTGGAATGTTCCACAGTGTGACATTAAACAGCTCTACCTTACATTTCTTCAATTACAGAAAGTTCTGTAGCTCAAAAATACCTACAAAAACAAGCATATTCCACAGATCTGACCTGTAACTTGGTCTGGTTTGGTCTCTGTGTACATTGAAAAGTTTAATGCCATAGTGTGAAGCATTCCAGACAAAGAAATAATATCCATAGATGGACCCTCCACCAGAAAAGTTACACAATGCACCTTTAAGCCTCTACATAGACCTGTATATGTAAATCACTCAGACTTATTCAGTGTAAAAGTAGCTTCACAGAGCAGGTCACTGAGTTCAGAGCACAGTTTGCTTCTCGGAGGAGAAAATCTGAAACCTGCTTGTACCGAAATGAAAAAGTATGATGCAGTTCTTGTTTCAAAACGCTGAGATGCTCGGGTTTGCAGACTTTATTGTGTTTCATTTGTGATAGATGTTGTAACCAAGATTAGATTCTTTCAATCAATGTTCAAGGCCCAGTGCAGTAAAAATGGAGAGAAGGCTGAAATATCATCTGCGTCTGAAAGACACACTCGTGTTTGTGGAGGGCGAGCAGGTTTTGGACTGGAGACTGGGTTTAAGGTTTGTCTATGTAGTCTAATTATGACTTGGTGACTCTTGAGGGCAGTAATCAGATACATTTACTTCAGAAACTTGTACTTTACAGAGTACTTTTATAGCAGAAAACTTTTATTTATACTTGAGTAATATGCAATACTTTTTACTTCAAAGTTTTGGTTTCTTTTCCCAGTGTAGGGCTGGATATCATTAAGAAGTTGCTGGTACTATACATATCTCGATACTTAGGCCACATATTTTAAATCGATTCGATACTGTTCAATAAATAATAAAGTCTAAATCATGGCTGTGACACTAAAAGTCTTTGTTAAACCACTTCTTGTGCAAAGTTCATATGAAACATAAACATTTTAATCATCAAAACAGTGAAAATGTCAAATGTGTCACATAAACAAGTTTCCTTCCACTAAATAAGCAACAAAACTGTAGCGCTGTAAAAAAAAAAAACACTAAATATTTTAGTAAAATATACCAAAAAATACTCTTGGTGATATATCGATACAGCAGCCTATGATATCAATACTGTATTATCACATTAAACGATACGATATATTGATATTTTGATATTTTTGCACACCTCTACCGCAGTGACAAAAGTTTTATGTTGACAATATGAAATGATTTGAACGTTTGTGTTTCTTGCACCGCTCCTACAGATATGATTTTGTTTTTGTCGATTTAGTTTTTTCATTTTTCATTTTTTTGTGACTCTGAGCTGCTCGTTTAAGCACATAACATCACCACGGCAACAGAGCACCGGGAATAGACGGAGTGAAGCTACTAAACGAAAATTAAGATGATTTTTTTCAAGTTAAACTGCAGCCTTCTCATCCACATTATCTGTGATGGAAATTTATATTGTGGAAAGATTTTTCTCAGTGTGTCTTTGTGTACATTAATGTGATTTCTACCTTAGACCAGTCCAGTTATTAACATGTATAAAAGCTCAGCAGGCACAACTGTCACACGCCCACGCCACAGGAAACTCTGTGTTGTCTTAGCTGTCCTCAAATGTAAGTTAACAAAAGCCACTCTGTTCTGATATTTTGATATGTAACTTGTATTTCTGTATAAATACTCAGCGGCTCTGGAGGAGATGCTCAGGGGGAGATACGCTGTTGTTCTGTGGCCAGGGCAGGCCTTGACCCTGTCCATGTCTGCTGTAAAAACTCATCACGCTTCACAAACGGATTCATTATTTTTTCTTCAAGTTAGAATTTGTCCTCTGCAAATAACGACACAGTCCACAAAACGTCTTCAAAAGTAAAAAAAGATTAGAGTAGATCCTCACGTGTGACTGTTTGAGATGAAGCTGCTGCAGATTATTGATTGCAACTCTACCTATATCTGAAATATTCCACCACATTTCATAAATAATACTAATACAGTTTTGACTAGACTTAACTACAAGTGCAGTGCTCTGATCGGAACACTTAAGAGTCTCAGAGCGAGTCGTAAAAGTCGCAAGCTCACTACTTTTAACTTGCAGTGCACGGTCTCTTCACTTCATTCTTTGCACTTTTAAAGCTCACGATTCTCCTCGTGTTTGTGGTCTGCGCTTTTTGTTGTGCGTTTAAAAAACATTTAAGACTAAAAAACATGTAGTGTGTTGGCTTTACTTGAGTCATTTCTTGGACCACTTCTTTCTACTTCTACTTGAGTAATTATTATTATTTTAAAGTAACGTTACTCTTACTTGAGTGCAATTCTGATTCGATTCTGTCTCCTCTTCTAACCAACAGGAGGCACTTCTCAGGCGACCCGTCCAGTGGAGATCGGCTCTCCCACTCTAGCTCCCCCAGGTCCCTCCAGGTTCCTCCGGCACCCCCCTCCAGAGACCCCAGCGCCCGCCGCAATGCTCCCTCTATGAGCGCCGCAGCACAGGGACCATCCATCCCGCCCACGGCCCCATGTAGACCCCTCGCTCTCCGCCTGGCACCTAGCTCTTTCGGATTCCACTCAGCTGTCCAATCCCCCAGGTCTGTTTAACAAAAACACATAGAAACATTGATGCAGAACATAAAGTACAAAGGAGGAACAGTGAGTATATGGTACAGAGGAGGGACAGTGTCAGACTGTCATTATTTAATCATAGTGCAGATTGCAGTGTGGAGTACAATTTGTTTCTATATTTTCATTTTTGTCACATCTAAAATCTTCCATCTGGCCTGTTCTTGTCCACAAACACAGATTTAACACCTCAGTGTTGCTTAACACTAATACTAGTGTAATCACTAGTGTAAATACAACCTCATGGACACCATTGTTCTCTGTGTTCCATTAGTGTGTCTATGTATACACTACAGCTTTACATTAAAGCCTCAGGTGTGTGCTCGAGCAGATGGGACCTGCAGGCCACAGTGCAACCTGCCAGACTATGCCTCCACATTTGATGACTGCTTTAACTGCACTGTGTTTAGTGTTTTGATGACCTCTTTTACTCTCTTCAGAGTTTTGGTTGCCCCTCTCACATGTATTTCTGATGGTTGTGTCCTTCCAGGCCAGAGTATGTCCTCTGCACCCTTCTACAGGATCCTGAGACCCCTCCTAATTGCCATCTTTGTCCTGGGATGCTTTGTCTCTGTTTTTGATGTATTTTAAGCCTGCCACCAGCTGGCTGTCAGGCCCCGTGGAGTCCACCGTATCCACAGAGCGTGTGAAGAGCCTGCTGTCCACACGCAGTGACAAGAACGTGACCACGGTGCTGGTGTGGCTCTGGCCCTTCGGACAGACGTATGACCTGGGCGTGTGCAGCTCACTCTTCAACATCGAGGGCTGTCTCGTCACTGCCGACCGCAACTTGTACAACAAGTCCGATGGAGTGGTCATCCACCACCGCGACATCTGCACAGACCTGTCCAACCTGCCCCCCCTGCAGAGGCCCACCTTCCAGAAGTGGATCTGGATGAACCTGGAGTCTCCGTCTCACTCGTCTCAGCTGCCGGGGATCGAGAACTTGTTCAACCTGACACTGAACTACCGGCAGGATGCCGACATCCAAGTGCCTTATGGGTCCATCGTGGCGGCCGAAGGGGATGAAGAATTTGTGCCCCCCAGTAAGAACAAGCTCATCTGCTGGATCGTCAGCAACTGGAACCAGGACCACGTACGGGTCAAGTACTACAATGAGCTCTACAAGCACATTGAGGTGCACGCCTATGGACAGGCCTTTGGAGAGTACATCTCCGACCAGGACTACTTCCCCACCATAGCCAGCTGCAAATTCTACCTGGCCTTTGAGAACTCCATCCATAAGGACTACATCACAGAGAAACTGTACAACCCCCTGTCTGTGGGCACAGTGCCCGTGGTCCTGGGTCCCCCCAGGCAGAACTATGAGAACTTCCTCCAGGGGGACGCCTTCATCCATGTGGATGACTTCAGCTCGCCCAAAGAGCTGGCAGACTACCTGCTGCTGCTGGACAAGAACGAGGAGATGTACCTCAGGTACTTCGACTGGAGGCGACGCTTTAAAGTAAAGAAGGCTCTCTTCTGGGCCGAGCACACATGCCTGGTCTGTGACTATCTGCGCAGGCACAAGGAGTACAAGGCCGTCAATAACCTGGACAAGTGGTACTGGGGTTAGGACTATGGGAGGGGGTGAGACTACTACAGGGGAAGGGGACTAGTGTTGGGGTTAGTGGGTTAACTTGTGCTCTCTGTATGTGAAGGATCATTACATTTTTGTGTCGAATGGATGGCCAGACATAGTTTTTCTTTGCCAGCCTTACTTTGCCTTATTTAAGATTTGATTTCTTATGTTTAAGTCATAAACACTGATAGACAAGCATACAGCACCTTACACATCTGTCACCGTACTCAACACATCCCAAATGCACAGTACAGTTTGAGTGGTTTCTGTTGGGTTTGATCAGACAAACAGAGCTGCCTATGGTGCAGTTTGAGCTGGAGCTCAAAATGCTTCCCATTCAGCACATGACACACACTGTCTATCAGTGCCAGTCTATGGTTTAAACTGCAGATAATGCACTACATTTTAATGTTCAAACTTATAATTTGCTTAACATTCCTTTGTGCTGCAAATGTTTTTTTATTTTTATTTTTTTACAATTACTGTAAATTCCAATTTGAATTTTGTCAATGTTTTTATATTTTTCTTTACTTACACTGGGAAATTGTGTATAAGCGTCAACCATAGAAAAAAAAAACTATATTTCAGTCGTATTTAAGTCCTATTTATTCCTGTGAGGCGTTTTCTGGCAAAATTCATCTGTGATAGTGATGCAGTCGCCTATGCAGTGTTTACTCCACTCAAATGTGAAACATCTATTATTGCATAGTGTGTATTTTTGAGGAGTATGTAGCTGTCATCTCTTTCTATATTTTTATAACGGTATCACAAACCCCACAGCCCCCAGCAGCCGCGGTGAATCACGTGTTGTAGCGAGGCTGTTTTAATTCTCTCACCTTTTTTTTATCAATATGCCGGAGAAATCTGTCTTACCCTGTTTTCTTCTGTGTAGACGAGCAAAGTTAGTTTTATCGCATAACAGGTTTATTGTATAAGCAGCTCTTAAGGTAGAAATCTGAGTCTGCTGTCCGCCTCTAGTTATGAAGCATTTTAGGAAGTGCACTGTTAGCCTGCTAGCACTACTGAGAAGGCAAAACTCCAGGTGAAAGTGAGGATTAAATATGGACCACTGCAAACTAGTTGTGTTTTTTTATGTTTTGAAAAGTATAAAATCAGACAAAGCGCGTGATTATACTAAAAGGAAAGACAGTTAGAGAGAAAATATAAGAATAAAACTTACGTAAATTGACAAAACATGGCATTCTAAGTGAATACCCTGTGTGGTGCAAACATCTAAAATGTGACGGTTTGATGTTCTGGAGCCAGTATTTTTGATTACATTGCACTTAGGCCGATAGTATTTTCATAATTATAATTTATCCAAAATGGAAATCTACGAGAAAGGAGAGAGGAGCTCCACTAAGTCCACATCTGCTTCGGTTTGATACTTGATTATCGACCCCTAACCATAACCTAAAACGGATTAAACACATAGTCATCATAAATTATTCACCTAAATCCATTATTTTGTTTTTTGAGGCTGGATGTCACTGAGTGGAGCTCCGGTTTCAGCTAATGGCTCCAAACCTTCACTCCAAACAGCAGCTGCACATGAACCCTCTCGTAATCCAGTGCTGAGCCTGGACGTGATAATCTAGTGGCAGTGATGTTTTGCCAAGTTACTAAATACACAGATTATTAAAGGTGCACCCTCTGGAGGTTAGGAGGAGTAACAGGAACAGGCAGTGCATGTATTTCCAGATGTTTATGCATAAGGTCTTCTGAGCCACTTAAAGATACACAGATTTCTCTTAGATCATAGCAGCGCAGTCCGTCATAAAATGTATCGTGTCCTGCACTAATACTGACATGATTGGCAAGTAGGAATCTTCAGCTCCAGAAGTAGCAGTAGAACCTTTGGCTGCAAGATTCAAGCTTTTTTCTCAAGTGGATTTCTCGGTTTGTTCCGCTGCGGTGAAGTTTCAAGGACCTCAGGACTGGGCGATATGGCAATAAGGCTACATTCAGACTGCAGCCTGAAGTGACTAAAATCTGATTTTTCATCCCTATGCTCCTGTATCTGATCTTTTAATGACAGTCTGAAAGACACAGATCAGGTTTTTTCAAATGCGACCCAGGCCACTTGGATATGTGGTTCTAAAATCGATATATAACCGATCTTTTGACATGCGACTTCAGTCTGAAAGGCCAGGTCGTGTTCATCCCACCTACACGTCAGGCTCAGAGTCTAGTCAATGGAGGGAAAGCGAGGTTAGCGAGTTTATTAATATTTGGGGGGATCGTTGTATTTAGGCCAAATTGGAGGGGTCTTATCAGAACCGGGTGGTTTTTGAAATGATTGCCAAAGAAATGGCCGAGCTTGGCTACAGGGCGTCCTGGCTCCAATGTCAACAAAAAATAAAGAGCCTGTGAGCCAAATACAAGAAGGCTAAAGATTCAAACAATCAAAGTGGCCATGGACATGTAACCTCTCCATTTTACGAAGAACCAGACCGTGTTTTGGGAGACAAGCCCAGCGTTTAGGCGACTTCTGTAAACACTGAGCATGCTCACTGCGTGTGACATCGTCGTGTCCTCCACTGCACATGCGGGACACTTTTTGGGCATTTAAAGTTCACACTGGAGATCACATACACATCACATTTAATTGTAAATGTGAACGACCTCGCAAAAAAAATCGGATTTCACAAAAAATCTGAAATAAGCATTAAAGGGCCCGTCTCATGCAAAATCAACTTTTCAGAGCTTTTTACCTTCTAAGAGTGATGTGTGGGCCTTGTATACGTAGACGAAGTGGTTTTAGATTGATTCGTCATTTTTTTAACTAATTGCAGCGTACTTCTGCCACCCTCCCACGTGACAACAAACTAAAGCTGCTACAACGATGATGCGGCCAGCTACACCAATGACGCGTTTGATGTATCTGAAAGCGCTTCGCAATGCAGTCTGAATGTACCTTAAAACTCAAATCATGATCTCATCCCTGTCACAATATATTATTTTGGTCAAATTTGGTCAAATTGTGATTCCCTGTTTTTTGCTGTCTTGTCTTCTGGCTCACGTCGATTGATCCGTGTGTCACTATGAAACCAGTTCTACACGTGATTAATCTGGAACAGCTATCACTGAACTGAACATGCAGAACGTCATGTCAACTATTTGATTCTGATTAGCCAAAGTGTCACAACAGATGAACAAGCCAAAAAATCTAGCTTCAGTAAATCCAGTTTAGAGAAAAGCACAGACGTTTTCCCTGTCCACAAATACACAAAGCTCTTACCTTCTGTACGCTTTCCACAAACTAAATAGTCCGTACTGACGTTCAAATAGGCTGAAGTACGTCCATCGGCATCGCCATGTTGTCGTTTGAAATGACCAAATCGTGATCTGTGTCCAAGAAAATCGTGATATTACTTTTTTGGGCATATCGTCCTCTACTTTTCCCGTCCTCTTTTTGTCAATCCAAACTCTGGTGTCAGCATTTGTGAAGGACACTGTAGAATATAGAAGCATTGGCAATAAAAGATGAATAATTCTAGCTAAAGGTCTAGTGTGCTTGAGTTAGCAATAGCCAGGCTTAGCAGTGACTATTTTTACTCCTTTTTGTTTACTCTTGTTTAAGTTTACTCACCGGCACGCCTCACCGACACACACAACTCAATTAGCAGCTACACTCAAATATCTGAACAGCGTATGCAAAAGAATTAAACAGCTTTTCACTTCAGAACACTTTTTCAGGTTATGATTTCCACACGGGGCCATCGCTGTAAAATAAAAAAGATGTTAAAGAGTTATTTTTATGATGAATTATGGTGAAACTCAATGTAAGATTTGTACATAGGGTCGGTGAATTAGCTGGGTTAAAGTAGCGCACTAACAAAGATCATGTATGCACACCGGGACGGAGAATTCCCTTACACTGGTGGAATTAAAGAATCCGTGTATCATTCGTTCATTTGTTTTGTTTTGTTTTCAATAAAAAACAAAAAGGAGAAAACAAAAAAAACAACAGTTTTCTTCATTATTTGTCTCCAAAACCAGACTGGAACCACACCAGGACTGAAAACACTTTAGTCCTGGTTTAGTCTTGTTTCAGTCCTGGTTCAGTCCTGGTTCAGTCAGTTTTGCGACGCAAAAGTCCAGTTTAATTCACAGAAACGGGAAATGGCCGTTATCCATTTTTTTCATTATTCATTTAAACACAAAATCGAAAACTGAACAAATTAATCATTATCCGTTTTTCATTTTGGTTTTGGAGACAAATAATTAAGAAAATAGTTGTTTTTTCATTTTCTTATTTTTGGTTTTATTTTGAAAAATGAATGAATGAATGAAACATGTATTTTCAAGCTGTAAAACTAGTTGTAAATATTTTTAATGTTCAGATTCATAGTTACGGGAGCAATGTTATGACACTTGAAGAAGCTGTGAAAATAAATTGCAATGAAAGGGAAGTAGGCATTAAAGGGACGTATTATGTACTATGAATGAAATGTACAATATGAAGGGGATTATATGTAGGATTTAACCTCATTTTTGTTTGTTTACATTGTTGGAAAAAAAAGAAAGATGCAGCTTAGATTTTAAAGAGAATTTCGTTTGATAAGAACCGTAAACAGTCATTTTTATCCAATTCGAGCCATTGTTTGTTGTTGTTTTTCTGTTATGGTTCAATATCCGAGCGGGCGGAGCTAAAACGTCATTCAAAATCGCGAATCGTCGTATACGTTCAGATTTCTATTCCAATTTTGATTTTAAACCCAGCTCTGTTCAGTGTTATGTTGTCAACCTCATAAAATAAGCGTATAATATTATATCATACTACTTACCTATAGCAAATGCCAAGAATACTGCAATAATTCAAGTCAAACAAACATAACCGTTATATTCATTGCTATGCAGTTAATCCACATTCAGCAGCTCGGTTTGTGTAGCATACTACCTCGTAAAATTAATCTCCCCCATTTACTATTGAAACCATTATGATTAAACGGTGAGTACGGCCAAACTTGATGCTAAAAATACTTGAATTC